TCCAAACTGAAAAATAAATAATGAAAAAATGTACTGATTTCATTTGGGGTGAATTCTGGGACATATATTAATTGAATCTGTTTTACACTCTAGATCAACATTTTAAATCTTTGTGTGAATCTTCAGATGTTTTCTAACCCCATCGGCAGAAACAAAGAAAATATCGTACGTGACACAGCTTTTACGTTCTGTCTGATTTGATCATCTGGGTCACAAAAAGTTCACCTTGTTTTATACGTGAGAAGCTCAATTATGCCAAATGTTAGGGGCAAAAAGGACAGAAAGCTGAATAATAAAATGTATATTATTCATAGAAATATCATTGATTTATATTAACATGTAAAGGTCCTATTTTTTCAAAAGGAAGACTCTTAAATAAAAACTTATAATACTAATTAAAACATTCTATTACAGGTATAGCACATTAAAAAATGTCACATAATTCCAAGGGGGAGCTTCTGATTTAAGTTGGCCCCACCCCTTTCTGTGACATCACAGACATGAAGTCATGTGATTCCGTCAGACGATGTCCATGTCAACTTATCATAAAAGTCTTGAAGCAGAATGAAGCCTATAGCTGTCCCACATTACCAAATGTCCCCCATTACCCAAATTCACCCTAATCTAAACACATTTTGTCGTTTGCTAACAAAGAACCTTTCACCTGAGGCAGGTGAGCTTCAGTCCAGAGGGTTGAGAAATCCAGGTAAACAGGAAGTAAACTGAAAGTTAAGAGGTGCTAAATGGGAATTAAACAGGAACGAAAGAAGTAGTAAACAGGAAGTAAACTAAGTTAAGAGTCAATTAGGAGCTTCCAGGGTTAAAGCTGTGACAGACATGTTTTGAATAATCAGACAGAGTGAGACATCTCTCTCTGGCAGGATCTGTTTGTATATACTGCAGATGTCTGTGTATATTTCTGTTCACCCCTGGGGGGGGCAACTCCTCAGCTACACTGTAAAAAAATACAACAGTCAGCCAATCAGGTTACAGGACACAGATCCTCTCCTCTGATTGGCTGTTGATTATGATTGTTTCAGGACCATTTCAGCTCAGATGTTCCCTGAATGTGTGGGTGGGGCCGTTACAAGGGGGTGGGGCTCTTGTGGGGGGTGGGGGGTGTTAACAATTAATACTTATTTTGTCTTTTTAATATCCATCAGTTTATCTTTGTCTTTTTTACGCTCGTCTCTCCGAAGGGACATACCGGGACATCCAAGTGGGGGCGAGGTCAGGGGTGTGACTGGAGATCTGGGGGCGTGTACATGGGAAGGGGTGGGTCATCGGTGTGTGGGTGGGGATGTTAATGATTCATATGACTGTTTTGAGCCAATCGTGTGTTCTCATTCCTGTCAGGTGACGGACTGAAGATTTCAACAAAAAATGCAAATAAAAGTTGTGAAAACTAATTCTTTGCCTTCTTCCTGACGTTGCCATGGAAACAGTCACAGTCCAGTAGCCTGCGCCGCATGATCATCACCGACGTGATCATCACCGACGTGATCATCACCGACGTGATCATCACCGACGTGATCATCACCATAGTTTTAATTAATTTGACTCTCATGGTCTGTGATTACAGACATGTTGTGATTACAGTCATGCTGTGGTTACAGACATGTGATTACAGACA